TTAACAATAATATTTTGAAAGGAATCTTTTTGTTTTGAGTGGTGGGTCTCAACAGTGGGCTTAAAATATTCAGTAAACCATGCTGCAAACATCTGTGCTGTTAGCCAGGCTTTGTTCCATTTCTAGAGCACAAGCAGAGTCGATTTGGCAGAATTCTTAAGGGCCCTGGGATTTCCAGAATGATAAATGAACACTGTGTTCAACTTCATGTCACCAGCTGCATTAGCCCCTAACAAGAGAGTCAGCCTGTTGTTTAAAATTTGAAGCCAGGCATTAAGTTTTCTTCTTAGCTATGAAAGTCCTGGATGGCATCTTCTTCCAATAGAAGGCTGTTTCATCTACACTGAAAGTCTGTTGTTGAGTGTAGCCGCTTTCATCAGTTATTTAGCTACATCCGGGTAACTTGCTACAGCTTCTACATCAGAACTTGCTGCTTCATCTTGCACTTTTTTTGTTCTGGAGATGTGTTCCTTCCTTAAACCTCATGAACCCACCTCTGCTAGCTTCCAGCTTTTCTTCTGCAGCTTCTTCACCTCTCAGCCTTCACAGAACTGAAAGAGTTAGAGCCTGGGTCTGGATTAGGCTTTGGCTTAAGGGAATGTTGTGGCTGATTTGATCTTCTATCCAGACCACTCAAACTTTCTCCACCTCAGCAATGAGATACAACATTGATTTGCTGTTTCACTTTCTTATCCTCTGTGGGTTCACTGGAGTAGCACTTTTAATTTCCTTCAAGAGCTTTCCCTTGAGGTTCTCCAAGTTGCATTTGCAACTTGGCTGGTGCAAGAGGCCTAACTTTCAGCCTATCTTGGCCTTCAACATGCCTTCCTCACTAAGTTTAATCATTCCTAGCTTTTGATTTAAATTGAGAGATATGTCTTTCTTTCACTTGAATAGAGGGTTATAAATTGGCCTAATCTTAATAATGTGTCTAAAGGAATAGGAAGGCCCAAGGAGAGGGAGAGAGATGTGAGGATGGCCAGTTGGAGCAGTCAGAACACACATAACTTTGATCATTTAAGTTTACCATCTTATATGGGCATGGCTTATGGCACCCCAAAACAATTATAATAATAACATTAAAGGTCACCAATCACAGATCATCATAACAGATATAATAATAGTGAGGCTAGATGCGGTGGTTCATGTCTGTAATCCCAGCACTTTGGGAGGCTGAGGTGGGTGAATCACTTGAGGTCAAGAGTTCGAGACCAGCCTGGCCAACATGAGGAAACCCTGTCTCTACTAAAAATACAAAAATGAACCGGGCGTGGTGGCTTGCACCTGTAATCCCAGCTACTCAGGAGGCGGAGGCAGGAGAATCACTTGAACCCGGGAGGCAGAGGGTGCAGTGAGCCAAGATCATGCCACTGAACTCCAGCCTGGGTGACAGAGTGAGACTCTGTCTCAAAAATATAAATAAATAAATAAATAAATAAATAAATAAATAAACAAACAAACAAATAAATAAATAAATAAAACAATAGTGAAAAAGTTTTAAATATTGCAAGAGTTACCAAAATGTGATAAAGAGACACAAAGTAAGTACATGCTGTTGGAAAAATGGTGCCAATAGACTAGCTCAATGTGGGGTTGTCTCAAACCTTCAATTTGTAAAAAATACGATATTTGTGAAGCACAATAAAGTGAAACGAAATAAAGCAAGGTGTACTCGTCTATGCGAAAAGAGATTCAGCCTCGGTAGGAGTCAGGGAAATACCACTTAAAAAAACGATGAGGCTAGGTGCGACAGCTCCCGCCTGTAATCCCAGCACTTTGGGAGGCCAAGGCGGGTGGATCACCTAAGGTCAGGAGTTCGAGACCAGCCTGGTCAACATGGTGAAATCCCTTCTCTACTAAAAATACAAAAATTAGCCTGGCATGGTGGCAGGTGCCAGTAATCCCATCTACTTGGGAGTCTGAGGCAGGAGAATGAATCCCTTGAGCCTGGGAGGTGGAGGTTGCGGTGAAACGAGATTGTGTCACTGCACTCCAGCCTGGGTGAGAGAGTGAGACACTGTCTTGCAAAAAAATAAAAAATAAAAATAAAACAGCAATGAAATGTGCATTTTAAAAATTAATGGACAATTTTTTAGAGTTGTTTTACACTTATGGAAAAAAGTTGAGCAGATGGTACAGAGAGTTCCCATCGGTACCTCCCAACTCTGTTTCCCCATTATCAACAACTTACCTTAGTATGATACATGTTACAATCAGTGAACTGATGTTTGTATATGCTTATTAACTCAAGTCCATAGTTAATTAAAATGCCTTAGTTTTTGCCTAGTGTCCTTTTTTCTGTTGCAGGATCCATCATTGCCAAATGCCTCATGACTTCTAGTTGTCATTTTCCCTGAGGCTTCTCTCAGCTGAGGCCATTTCTCAGACCTTCTTTGTTTTTGATGACCTTTACAGTTTGAGGAGTACTGGTCAAGGATATTGTAGGGTACTGCTCTGCTGGAGTTTGTCTGATGTTTTTCTCATAGTTGGGGCTGTGGGTTTTTGAGAGGAAGACCACACAGGTAAAGTGCCATTTCTCTCATCACATCAAGGAGCCACAGAACTGTTGGTGTTGACCTTGATCCCCTGGCTGGTGTTATCTTGGTCAGTGTCTCCACTGCAGAGTTACTCTCCATACAGTGCTATTTAGAAGGAAGTCTTGATGTGCACCCCACAGTGGGGAGTAATGTTCCCCCTCTTTTAAGGCGAAGTCGCTACATAATTTATTTGGAATCCAGCATGAGAGATTTGTCTCTTCTCTCCCACTTATTAATTGCTTTTTTGACATGGAGTCTCGGTCTGTCACCCAGGCTAGAGCGCAGTGGCCTGATCTCGGCTCACTGCAACCTCCGCCTCCCAGGTTCAAGCGATTCTCCTGCCTCAGCCTCCTGAGTAGCTGGGATTACAGGAGTCCGCCACCATGCCCAGCTAATTTTTGTATTTTTAGTAGAGATGGGGTTTCACCATGTTGACCAGTCTGGTCTTGAACTCCTGACCTCAAGTGATCTGCCCACCTCAGCTTCCCAAAGTGCTGAGATTACAGGCGTGAGTCACCGTGCCTGGCTCCCACTTATTAATTTATTCAATCATTTACACATATCAGTGTGGACTAATGAGTATTTATTGTATGCTTTAAGTGATAATCCAATACATTTTTGTTGCTCAAATTGGCGTGTGTGTGTGTGTGTGTGTGTGTTTGTAACCCCGTGGATTCGAAAAATCAAAAGGTTGATGAATAGCCAGGGTTGTGGCAGCTGTGGGGCTGCCAAGAGGGTGAATTGCTGCCCCCTTGGAGTGGATGAGCGTGTTTTGACTTGGAAGTACCAGAAGGAAAAGGGGCAGGAGCAGGGCAATTTGTGCCATTGGGCCCATTTTTACTTAAAAAGAAGGCTGAGCTTGGTGGCTCAAACCTGTAATCCCAGCACTTTGGGAAGCTGAGGAAGGGTGATGGATTGAGCCCAGGAGTTTGAGACCAGCCTAGGTAAAACCTTATCTCTACAAAAAAATTTTTTAAAAATTTTCTGGGCATGGTGGTGCGTGCCTGCAGTCCTAGGTACTCAGGAGGCTGAGATGGGAGGATCGCTTGATCCCAGGAGCTTGAGGCTGCAGTGAGCTGTGATCATGCCACTGTACTCCAGCCTGGGCATCAGAGTCAGACCCTGTCTCAAAATAAATAAATACATAGAAGGAATATCTATTTTATAGGTCAATCCTTATCTATCTATAGCTATCGATTATCTATAGTTCAATCAATTATCAACCATTTATTATCTATTGATCAACATATCTCTTGATCTATCAGTTATCTACTGATTTATCTATCCATTATCTACCTGTCTATCTAATTTGTTTCCTGCCAGCTACACTGTCCCACTCTCAATCTGTTCTCCACTCAGTGGACACCCGAGGGCTCCTTGGGCAGCGCACATCACATCAGGTCCCCTCCCTTCCCTCAGTGGCTTTTCGATGCCCTCAGAATAACGTTCAAGTTCCTTGTGGTGGCCTACAGTGCCCTCTATTGGAGCTCCACTCAAATGTCCCTCCTCAGAGAGCCCTTCCCTGGCAATCCCACCTGCGCAGGTGGAAAATGGCATTTTACTTCTGCTCCCGGTCACATGACTTCCAGTCCATCACCCATCACCCCACCATCCTTTCTCCCCAAGAATTCATCACCATTTGAAAGATTCTCCTCCCCCCCACTAGAATTGAGACCCCATCAGGGCATTGGGCTCCATGGCTGCTGACTTGTTGGCTCTTGTAGCCAGGCTTAGCCCAGAGCCCAACACATAGTAGGTCTCAATCCTTCTTACTTGTTTAACGAAGGTCCTGAGAGAAACCCAAGGCAGAACAACACTCCTTCAGCCACATTAGTGACTGGCGAAGGGGGACTGGAAAGGGAAAGAGATTGTCAACTTTTTCTTTAGATACCTCTGGTTTGTTTAAGCTGTTACAAAGAACAGGGAGTACTACGGTTTGTAATTAAAAAGAAGATCCAATAAAGTTAATCAAAAAGGAAAAGAAATAAGGTTTTCTCTTCCTGGGGACAAAAGAAGAAAGCAGCAGAGGCTTTAAGCGGGAAATGGTTGGTGTATGGGGGAGCACAGGGAGTCTCCTGAGGCTGCGGATGGAGTGGGGCAAAGAGGGCTGGAGGGTGTGTGGGAGTAGAGGGTGCTGGGGAGACGGGGAGGCTCTAGAATTGTTACCGATTGAGGGGCCTGCAGTCTGGGTGGAAGGAAGGGGCAGACGTGGGCACTGTCTAGAAGCTGTGCTTGTGCAGTCGGCTGGATGTGGGTTTGAGGTGACTCGTGGGGGTGACTAGGGAGTCCTGGGACATCTCATGCTTCCACTACTGGGACCTGCATAGCCCCACAGTCCAGTCCCTGGCCCAGCCCCTGGGTGCGCCGGTCCTCTCTCTTCTCTTGGCTTCAAGTTTCCCAGCAAAAGAACAGGGCTTGGCACGGGAGTCTCCAAGGTTCTCCCGGTGGGATGGCCGCCTCCGTGGCCGCTGACTGCGGGCGGGACGCTGGAGCACCGGCCTGTCTTGCAGGCAACCCCAGTCCCCACTTCCATCAGAGGCTCTGAACAGGCGGCCTCCGCCTCCGGCCAAGAGAGGGCGCTGTGGCACCGCCGCACCCGAGCCGGCTCGGCGCGTGGCAGAGCGGGCCCTGCAGTCCAGGCCCTGGGTGGGCCCCAGGCATCCGCTACCCCCTCGTCCATGTGTCCTTCTCCGCGCAGCCCTGTTCACGCCAGAGTGCCCACAGGACTCGAGTGTCCGCTTCTCAGAGCCCGGCCGGTGAGATCTGTACCTGCCCAGGAAGTCATTCCTTCCATGCCCTTGCCTCTGGGCAATTTCACAGCCGGGTGTGTCTCTGGGCAGGGGAGGGAGCTCTCCTTGCGCCACGCAGTCGTTACCCCTGATGCCAGGTCTTGGTGTCCAGCTCGAATCTCTCTCACTGCAGCTAGAAGCGACATGGCTGCTTCCAGAGCTGAAGGGGAGCTGGCGTTGAAGAAGCCAGGAGAGGGGTGTTAGCCACTTTCCCAGGCGTCCTAGTGGTTCCCTGCCCAAATTAATAAACCCCAGGAAATCCCGCCGTCCTCTGCCCCCAGCACAGCCCTCCTCCCTCTCTTCTTGGGAGTGGAGAAGAGCTGGGATGGGAGCCTTGGGTCTCGGCGGGCAGGTGGGAGAAGCTGAATTGGGAGGCTTCTACCAGATTATCCCCAAGAAACCTGGCAGTGGGAAGGGGGCTGAGAAGGTGGCTGGCCTCCTGGAGCATGCCCAGGGCGGGGGACCCCAAGGCTAGAACATCCCTGGACAGCCCTTCCCTGTGCACGGCAACCTCCATCGCAGGCTTTTCTAGGCCTCACCCTCCCCACACCCCTAAATCCCTACATCCCCGCTCCTCCCCATAATTCTACCCACGCCCAGAGCTGGCTGGGCCCCAGCGGGGACATCTAAAGGCGGGATCAGCCCCAAGCTGCAGGCCTCTCACGCCGGTGTCTTGCTTCATTCCAAGAAAGCGCCTCCTTTCCTATTTCATGCCCCACTGGCTCTGCCCTCCCAGGCTGGCAGGCTCCTGGCAGTGTGCTGGGTCCCAAGATCAGAGGAAGCTCTACTGCCTCTCAGATGCCTAGTTTGTCCCTCCTGGGATTCGGGCCATCGGAGACACCCTCCCTGAAGCGGACTGGGCACACAGGTGGGACCAGGCCCACAGCAGAACATCCAGGGACTCCCACCACCTGATAGCCAAGCCCCCAGCAGGGTCAGGGAAAGGGGGATCTCACTGACTCAGGGGGTCAGGCAGGCCCAGGCTTGCTGTATGATTTGGAGGAACCACTCTCTGGCCTGGCTGTGGCTCAGATGTGGCCCAGATGTCACCCAGGAAACCCAAGTGGCCCTGCCTCTTTTGCCTTCCGCTGTCCCCATAGCCGTCCTCACAGGACTGAGGGCCCCCATTAGGCTGCTGGCTCGAGGTCCGTAGTGGGAAGGTGGGGGGGAGTAGGGCTCCCCGGAAGTGCATTCCAGGGCAGGCTTCCCAGGAGTCACGCGGTGCTCACTCTCCTGTGGTGTGTGGAGTGGAAAGGTCTCCCCAGCCAGGTGCTCCGGGCCAGGATGCTGAGTGGAAGTGTTGGGAGGCGCTGAACGACCAGCACCCTGGGCCCTTGTGGAGAAAGACCTTGGCCCCAGACCCTCCTGTCTCCCCCTCCCCTTGTGGCCTCCTGTTCCTGGGTACAGATGAACCTGTTTACCATGGGGATGGGGCCAAGGGGCAGCTCCTTCTCAGGTGTCCACACTGTCATCAGTTGCTGACAACATGAGGACATCATGGTTAAGCCTTTGCCAGATCCAGGTTCAAATCTGGGTTCTGAACCTTGCTTACTGTGTGACCTTGGCAAAGAGGGCCCTAACCCTTCTGAACCTTGCTTTCCTCACCTGTGAAGTGGGATAACCGTATCTCCAACAACCCAAGGTTGATGTCAGGATTAAACGATAGTGTATGTAATAGTAATTATACCAGCAAACCCTGAGGGAGTACCAGGGAGCTCTTTTAAGCACATCCTGTGAATGAACTCTAATCCTTATCATAAGTCTAAGGTCTGGCCTCTTATCCTCATGTTTCAGATAAAAGAGACATAGCCCTTGCCCTCAAGGAATTTCCAGTCCAGTAGGGAGATAGAGAAGCGAGCAAAAATCCTTTGAGCCAAATTAGTCTTTACTGTTTGGTGTAATGAGAATTCAGGTCACAATGGTTCACATTTTAATTGGGTCCTCATAATCCCCCACCATGAGCCCATGGTACAGGCGGGGAAACGGGCCCCGGGAGATTGCAACACTTGCCCAGCAGAGAAGGCGGAAGCAGCACTGTGTGACTCCTGTGCCTGGGCCCTTCCCCAACAATAAACACAAAATACCATTGAAACCAAGACACTTGCCATGGAATTGCAGTTTCCAGAAAAGTCCCCTGGCTCCTTCTTACACACAGAGGACTGCAGCCCACCAGCCCAGATCTGGACAGGCCAGTCCTGTCTCTCCACCACACTGTTCTGCCTCTGGATGCCCAGAGTGAGGAATGATTCCTTCTGTGTGGTAAAGCTGGAGGAGAGTTCACCCACAAGGTGACATTTGAGGTGGGATTTGAAGGATGCATAGGAGTTCATCAGGTGGACAGGGAGGGTAGCCAACCTAGGAGTAGGGAAGAGCATGGACAAGGGCAAAGAGGCACAAGTGTATATGGTGGAGGAAGGCAGGGGGGTGTTCTTGGTAGGGAACAGGGTGAACAAAGGCAGAAGGCAGGGCGACCCAAGGAAGCTGTGTTTGGTGATTAATGAAGGCAGGGGACTTGAGGGGTTGGGAGGGATGATGGAGATAAGACAGAAAATGCAGGTAGGCGCCACATTTCAGCACAGACAAAGCTCTCACTAAAGGACTGTCCCTCTGACTTGGGAATTCCAGAGACCCCTTGGTGATAGAGCCACTGAAATAGTCGCACAGGACAGCCGCTGCCAGTCCTGCCCAGATTGGGGTTTGGGAGGGGTCTGCTGCTTAAAGCACCTCACTGGCAGCCAGGCCCGGTGTGTGGAGCGTGTGCAGGCTCTGGGCCCCTGTGTGAGGCCAAGGTGTGTGTTCTTATGCATCAATGGAGTGTGCAGAATGCACTGGAGGCTCTGGGAGGGTGTAGAGGAGTGTAAAGAAATGTGGGTGAATTGTGTGTGTGAAAACACAAAACCATGGGTGTCTGTGCAACTGCCTGTGCAAGTGTGTACGTGTGTGTAACAGTGTATATCCCACAGAGCATGCATGCACAGGGCCACGCACCCAGGACTCTCATGGAGGGGCCATAGGTGTATGTATGCAAATACAGGTCTGTAAATGCAGGTATATGCAGGGACTGAACTGTGTGTGTGTGTGTGTGTGTGTGTGTGGGGCTGTCCCTTAGGTGGTGTCTGGGTCAAGGTGGGATGGAGAGAAGCAAGCCCCAAGAACACATGTGAGGAAAGGCTCAGCATCCTGAAATCAGGATTCCAGCATTACTTAGAAATGGCCAGCCGCAGGGCACATGCAAATCAGATGGGAGTGATATGCAAATAAGCAGTCTTCTCCTTCCTGGCCTTGGCCTGGGCTGTCACCCCAGGAGTCTTCCTGGAGTTCTGGGGACAGGGCTGTGGAAAAAGGGGCTCTGGCAGTGCTGGAAGCAGAGCTCCTTGTTGCCTTGGTTCCCTCTAGCTCACAGGTTAAGGCTGAAAACCCCATAAGGCCCCACGTCCTCCATGAGACCCCAGGGGAGGCTTCCAGCTGCCACTGGGCCTAGTTCCCAGCTGTGGGGCCAGGGGTAGGGGAGGAGGTGGGAGGAGCTGGGGGAGCTGGGTGAGGGCTCCCAGGCCCCACCGCGGAGAATGGATGTCACAGTGACAGCTGGCTCAGCCAGCATTCACTGGTCAGGCCCAGTTGTTGGGGCGCCAGGGTGAGGGATCAAGGGTAGACAGAGGCCTGCCATGGGCATGCAGGGCGCCTGGGGCTTTCCTTGGGGCTCAGAACACAGACCCATGTTGCTGGAGAGGCTCACACAGCCTTCTGACTCCCTCCCTGCGCACAGGGCACCCGAGATCACTCAGCACGACGTCATCGGGCCAAGACCGTGCCCAGGCTCCCCACCCCAGGCGAGTGCCTGTCCCTCTGCCTGGGAGTACACATCCTGACTCATGCACGCGTGCTGCACGGGCAGTGCACACGCCTACACCTCACACCCTCATAGACCCTCCACAGAGTGTCTACACGGAACATGTTTGCTGGCATTGAGGACCATGTACACAGGCACACCCAACCTCCAGGCTGAGCACGGAACACCTGCCCATGGACATGCTCACAGCCCCGAGCAGGACTTTCTCCCACCCACCCGTCTTCCCCTATGCACGCGTCCAGACAGGCCTGCTCCCCCAACATAATACACTTTCTCCTGGGTGGGCGGTCATCTCTGCTCCCCGTAGCTTCTGATCAGTTTCATAGTCACACGTGGTTGGGGGTCCAGCTGCCTCCAGAACTGGGGCTTCCTGTTTGCCTGACTCCTGGGTTTCTCTTCATGTGACAGGTCTCCTCCCTGAGGCAGAGCCTGGGACTCCTTCCTTTGACTGGCTGGGGCCAGGTATCCCCCATAGGATATGAACTCCCTGACGGTGGCAACTGTCCCTACTGTCCTGAAGGCAGGGGCGGGTCTGCCTCTGACCACCAGACAGACTGACAGCCCCTCTCAGAGCCCATCCTGGGTTCTACACAGTCCTAATGATCTGGGGTGAGTGGACAGACAAACAGCCTTGCCCTAGGCCTAACCGAAGGCCAAAGGTCAAACTCCACGCATGCCAGGAAGGGAACTCAGCCCAGAGCAGCCCAGGACAAAACCCTGTGGTCCAGCTACAGAGGGCAAAGGTGTATCCCTCCTGGCCAGCCAGATGGAGCCCTGGAAAGAAACCACACAGGGCCCATCCAGCAGCTCACACCCTCCTTCTAGGAAGTCCTCCTGGGTGTCAGCCTCAAATCTCTCGTGCTGTGGCATTTCCCCTCCTTTGCCTCATGGGGCTCTCACCTTTCAACTTCCCAAGATATATTGTCACTATTGAAGTTAAAAAAACAACAAATAGATTGGGCGCATTGGCTCACACCTATAATACCGGCACTCTGGGAGGCCGAGGTGGGCAGATCATTTGAGGTCAGGAGTTTGAGACCATTCTGGCCGACATGGAGAAACCCCATCTCTACTAAAAATGCAAAAATTGGCCTGGCACGGTGGCTTACACCTGTAA